TCAGCTATTTGCTTCCTAGAGACATAGAAATATTGTATTTTGACAATTGCATATGGATAAAGATTAAATGCCAATGAAAAGCCCTGATTTTCTTTCATTTACACAGGTGCAAGGTGAGCAAACTGAGTAATTTATCACACGTTAGCAACAGTCATTCTCACCTGAAATGATACCACACTTATAAACAATCTGAAGTTTGAATAAATTAGGTTCCAGTCCTAAAACTCCCTATAAATTTTTGGAAGCAAGCCCTGACAAAACAGCTTTTAGGAAGTCAGGATCAGGCATGAACTAATTGATTCTAATAATTCCCTGCCTTCCCAGCCATTGGTATCCCTATTAGCCAAAATGCTGCATTCCCATTTTGGTCTGTTTTAAATTATTTCCAGATTTTCAAATAAATACGATCTTTCCACTTTATTTCAATACTTTTGGTACTTGTATTGTAGAACAGCTGTAGCATTTACTGCAGAGCTGGCAGCATTCCAGAGGGAAATTATCTTTTCATTAATGAAGTTTAAATTGTAAATGGCTTGGCATGAAAAAAGCTGTAATAAGGTCAACAATATGTCTCCCTTCTATACCCAGGTCAGTGTAAAAATCTTAAGTGCCCATTTGATGTTTTAAAAAAAAAGGGGAAGAAGGAAAGAATTAAAAGGCATAAAAATTGAATATTACTTATTTAGTCCTCCCCTTTTCTCAGTGGTTTGGTCTCTAACTGCAGTAACCTTTACAAGCCCAAAGGAGAAATGCATCACTCTGGACATTTTATAAAGGCGGAGTCATTTTTTGAGATAAAACAATTGTTTTATCGACTTCCTCCTCCTTTGTCCCCTTTCTGTGTAAACACTAGTTCAGGCTCTATTGTTAACTCAGATTTGAACGTGCTTTGATATGGGATTAAAAAAAAAAAAAAAAAAAAAGCAGTTGCTGTGAAATCACTTCACCAAGTAGCATTTTGCATTCTGCAAAAGGACAAATATCTTTCTGACTCCTGCCTTTATAATTTGCTCTGTTTTATGAACCTATGCATTACTCTTTTGACTTTCAGCTTTTCACAGTTAGCAAGAAAATGGAAATACGTCCAAGTTCCAAATGACCCGTTTTTCTGGACTATTATGTAGAAATTATTGAATCAGAGGTACACAGTCACACTGACTACATTAACTAGATCTGTACCTGCACACACCTTTTATAACTCCTCTTTTTACATCATTTGCTTACACACGGAAACAGTTACTTTTAGAAGTAATGTTGCATGAATTCTGGTTTATATTAATACACAGCCTATAAATATCAAGGATGCTTGCAGTGCAGTAAATGTTCACTTCATTGGCCAGTTTATAACTAGTCTGCCTTGTTAAAACCAACATTAACCTAAACCTCCAGTTTAACCTGTTTGCACAGACACCCCAGGCAGGCAGCAGCTGCCAGGATTCTAGGATGGCAAAGGACAGCTCTGACTGGCCTCTCCTCTTCCTGACATCTAGGAAATCACTTTCCCTTCAATAAATATTGTAGGAAAGGTCTTTCTGAAAACATTCAGGCAATGGAAAGTAACAAATTAACCATTGCATAGGGTCTTGGTTTGTTTTGCTGTGTAATACTTCAGTACTCTAATAACTGGTTTACAAGAGCACAGGAAGACAAGATGTGATAAAGTAATAACTCTGGTAGTATTTCACTCTTCTTTCCCTTCTCCCTTGATTCCTGAGAAGAAGAATGGAAAATCTCTACCCCTCTTTTTATGATCTTCTTACAGCTTAAGGGAGAGAGAGGGCAGAGTAATTATTCTCTGTTTGCACTTCATGTTTCCTACTGTGTCACTTCTGGTCTGGGGTTTGTGCATTCTTTTTAGTACATACTTGTCAAAAGATGTATCTCCAAGAATGAAATATAAAGGGAAAATAATAGACAGTATCACCATGTCTGGCTGCTGCTGTCCAGTAAATTGATGAGGAATTCTAGCGACTCAAAGTGGCCTTAATTCCGAAGTGTGTGTTTGTTGGCTTGAAGGGGCTGAACACCAAAGTAGTGACAGAGATTGGTGTATAAATACCAAATATAGACCTGCTTTGAGTTTTGAAATGTCCAGAGCTAGACTTTCAGTCTAGGAACATGCTATGACTAATAAAAACTAACTGGAATGAAAGCTAGGCAATACTGAGCATCTCACAGTCCCTGCATTTCAAATATATTTTAGCAAAATCATGCTTTTCTACAAGTGCTTAAAACCCATTCACCACAGAGTACGAAAAAATGTGTGATGTTGTATATTCTGAAGCCAAAATCTGTTAGGTTCAGAATAAAGTTGGGTTAGATAGAAATACTCTTATTTTTTTAACTCAATAAATTCTCGAAAAAGTATGTCCCTGTGCAATGACAAAAATCTGCTGTGCAGGGGGCTGCTGGATTGCTTTTATTACAACAGATACTCCCACAGCAATCTAAGTAATCAGCAGACCTAGAGACTCAATTCCTCCTCCTTTAGGCAAACACTGAGGCATGGTGGCACAGAACTGATGCATTTCCTGGATTCAATAATGTTCTGTAAAACTGACATGAAAATCAGAAAAATATTCCCCTGAACCCGAAGGGTTATGACTTGTCTCAAGGTGCAGCTACCCCACAAAACTTAGTAGAATAGTTTCAGGCCAAAACTGATATTTAACTGTCCTAGATGTAATAAAAATAAAATTAATATCATTTTTTTCCCCTTCTCTGAACTTGTGGAAACGCACACGGTGATAGCTGCTATTTATTGGAGGAAGAATGTCATTCAAAATGACTGAGGTTCACTTCAGCTAAATATATTTTTACATTCTTGATCTCAGGAGTCTTCAAACCCTCTTCTGCCCACCTTTACCACAGTTATCACTTTTTTTTTTTGTCTTTGGGAACTGTAGAGAATTCAGCCAGTTTCTTTTATCAATAGTTTCTTCCTTCAAAAATCTTCTTCCCATATAGTTCAGCCTCTTCCCAAGTTAATCATCTGGAATGCTGTTTGCCCTCCCAGGTTTTGTCCCCTTACAACCCAAAAATGTAACTGTCAGTTAAAACCACAAACTGTTCAGTCCTCACTCTGTGTAAGGAAAAACTAATCCTTACTTTACCAAATCTAGAGAAAATAGATGTGCAATTTCACGTTTTGGGGTTTTAAAATTTAAAACCCGCTTGTTGTCAGAAATGTGTCTAAATACAAACTACCAAGTCAGAAGGGAGAATTTGACTGGTCTGGGAATACCAAAACAGGTCTTCTACCTTAATAACACAGTATAATGACCCATTTTGTCAGAAAAATATGAAATACTCTTGAAAAATCATCATACTATGATTAAAGTCTGTCAAAGGAAATGAATTCCTGCTTTATGAATAAAGCTTACGACGCAAGAATACTTCTACAACTGAATGAACCCCAGAGTTTGAACATGACAGACCAAACAGTACCTTCATCTGTCTTGAAAAACCAAGTATTTTATGCAACAAATCTTTCAACAGCATCATTTCCCTCTACAACTCTATTCCCAAAGTAGTCACAGGGCTTGGAACTGGAATTTCCATTAAATAAAGGGGAACTGTTCTGCCTACCCAGCATAGAAACCCTCCTGATAGGAGCTCACACAGGTAGACATAACCAGGTAGACCTGTTTGATCAACAATTTTATCCCTCTGTACAACCTTATCTTCTCAGTTTCTTAATTTTCTTAATTACCACCTAATTTCTTGCGGTTCAGGTTATCAGATTAATTTCTAACATGAAAGTCTGCCCTAAGTACATGGGGGTAGGATTAACAACGTTAGGGGTTTTCCCTTCTGGAAATGCAAGCTGGGAATAGCAGGTCATAGTTAAGAGGTGAAAGGATAGTCGTGTTATAAAGGATTAGTTGTGAAACTTGTTGAAATTCTCAGTAGGTAAGCTCTGTGTCACTACACTAGACACTACACACTGGTATCTAGTTCATGCTCACAGTATTTTAAGTTTTGGAGGCTGATTAGCAAAAATTAACACAGGCCAACGTTTTGGATGAAATTCTAGCAAAGCCTCTGGCAAAAGGGCCTGGAATTTCACAACAGATTTCAGAATTAAAGGCATTTAAACCTCAGGCCGTGAATCAACGAGTGTAAATTGATGAGTTCAGGAACCACATGTATAGAGACTTCAAGAGCCATGTCCTTTGTCTGCGTCTCACAAAGAACAGGTCTGGCTTGGGGAAAGGCTGTACCTGCTTCCTGTGCTGCCAAGTGCCTGCCGCAGCAGAACCTTCTCACGAACACAGCTTCTGTTTCAAAGTGCTGCATTACTAAGAAGATTAGGATTTGTCAAATATGAATGGATTGCTCCTATAAGTGGGTCGGAATGTACTGAAATTCTGAGGGCATTGCCTTTTAAAGAAGCCAAAAGTAGTGCCACGTAAGGGTATTTAGTGACTGGTTGCATCAATGTCTTTAATTGTTTGTGTTCGGTTTTGTGCCCTGAAAAGAGAAAACTAGGAAAAGTTAATAATTTTTGAGTAAGAAAACCCTTTCTTGAAAGGAGAACGCCAAAGATATGTTCTTGGACAGATGTCCTAGACAGATCTTGTTATCAAATAAATTAGGCTGTGCCTAATGTTAGAAAGAATCTTGTAAACACACACAGAACTGTCACAACACGACTTCCTTTTGCATTGAGAATGGTCTTTTCAGAGCAAGGCACAGTAGCTAAGTAGTGGGAAAGCTGCACAGTTGCTAATGTCATTGTCCCTCTTCAGTAAAAGCCTGTTTACTTTCCTCAAAAATCCAATTTACTCCTTGTTCCTGTTTCTTTCTCTGCCTCCTTTCTAATACCTCCTGTCTTTCCAGTAAATGAAAGATTTCAAAAATACCCACAGACCTAAACAGGGACTGCCGGGATGCCACGAGCTTCCAGGGGCTGTTGTTCCAGTTTGGGAGTGAAGACAAGGGGCTTCCTTTCTTGCTGGTTATTAACTGTAACTGTTCCTGGCATTTTGTTTTCCCAGGGAAGAAGCAGCGGCCGCTCGTTATCACTTCCTGGGAGACCTTCTTCATTCATCCCTCGAGCCCCGTCTCCTACTTCTCCTCTTATATTCCAGCCCGCCCCCGATTACTTCAGCAAGCCAGACGCAGCAGCTGACAAGCCTGGCAAAAGACTGACTCCCTGGGAAGCGGCAGCACGATCTCCCCTCGGCCTGGTGGATGAAGCTTTCGGCCCCCAAAACATGCAGGAATCCATCGCTGCTAACGTGGTATCGGCCGCCCGCAGGAAAACGCTTCCCGAGCCACCAGAGGAATGGAAACAAAAGGTTTCTTACGAGCCTCCGGCCACAGGTGGTAGCGCAGCCTTGCTGGGGGGGAAGCAATCGGGTGTCGTGCCACCCCAAAAAAGCTCCCTGTCTGCCCCCTCTGCCCCCTCCCAGGCTGGCTCCCAGCTGCAGTATCCTTACTGCAGCCAGCGCTCCCGAACAGATCCCGACATAATGTCCGTGGATTCCAGGTCTGACTATTGCCTGTCAACAGCTGATTCAAACTACAACCCACAGCCAAGGGGATGGAGACGTCCAACATGAGCAGCCGAAGGGCCTGCTGCGTTTTGCCTTCTTCCAGCTCTCCAAGCCTTAAGATCTGAGCTGGAGAAGGAAGGTTTCTCGCTGGCCTGACCATCTCTGAACTAAAGAAGTGAGGAGGCAGAATTGAATGGAGCACAGTTTTCACGTGACTGCAGGGCTTGCAGCCTCTAGAATAGACTCAGTTTTACACCTAAGATTGTTCAGTTTGTCAAAAGGGCAAAAATACACATTTCTTGGGGTGAAGGGGAGGGGGTGAAAGCAGGGCAATCCATGTGCTGGATGCGAAAATCTAGAAAGGACGTAGAAAGTGACAGTACAAGGGCTTGCAGTTGAGCTAATGTGAAGAAAAAAAAAGGTAAAATAAGGGCATTTTAAAGGTAAAAAAAATTTTACAGGACCTTGCAGGTTTTCTGGGTATGGCTGACATGAGTTCCAAGGTACTAAATATAGCCAGCTTTGAAAAAGTTCCAATGGAAGTGGAATACTTCGGAGCACTGGCTTATTTGCCATATGTTTTCTTTACTGTGTTTTTATAATGAGCTAAGAAAGTAGATCAGTGGATATTTTTACTGTGGCAACAGCTAAAATACATCTGTGGTCATGGTATCTGAATCACCACAATATGCAGATACAGGAAATCTTACACAGTCACCCAGTTCAGGTGGATTCCAGGACAGTTTCGATGCAGTTTTTACATACTGCAATTAATCACAGGCTCTGAAAGCACCAGGAAGGAAGGGGTTGTGAGTAGAGGTCAGTACCACGATACTTGAACAGCAAAATAGCTGAGGAGTGGATTTAAACTGGACTGCAAGTTAATTTTGTAATAAACTATCCAACAGGTGAGAGGCTGAACAGCCTTTATTTCTCTGTGAAATGCACTAATTGCTGAGCATTTACTGCTGCAGTGCCTGCTCATGGGACTGGCTGGGCAGTTCTTCGTAGAAACTAAGTAGCTCAATGTTTAGAAAGCTTTTGAGTTGTATTTGGAAGGCACAGATTGGTTGTTCATCAGGGGCAATACCTGTTCTCTGTAGAAAATGGTATGTGAGAGAGGGTTTCTGACATGTGTTACATGGCATGAGTCTGGTACAAATAGCAAATATTTGGAGGGTTGGTTATACTTAAATGATCTCGATGGGCCTGAAGAGATGGTGAACAATTTATGCTGGTGATAAATACCTTGCATTTGCAGCTTATTTAAACAATAGAAATACGTGGCTAAAAATATATGTATTCAAGCTTATTTGGGTAGTTTAGATGTTGTTAAAGTATTAAACGGACACCCCAAGTTTTGCAAAGTGCTGTCAGTCCTCCTTGTTTGTGGGGAATTCTTGAAGGATCTGTCAAGCACAGTCAACTACAACTACTGCAGAAGCACAGTTAACTATCCTTGGTATCAGTAAGGCTGTCAACTGTGAGTGAAGTGATTAGATCAGAAAGAACTAAAACATGCATGCAGTAAGAAAAAGCATATTACAAAACATTCCCATCTGCAAAGATTTTTCCCTCATAGCAATTATAAAATATAACTGGTAGGAAGGAAAAAGGCAAATTGAATCCAAGTTCAGTGGAGTTGGAATTTCCCATAAAAATTCCCATTACATGAAAAACATACCCCTAATGAGTTTAAGTTGGCACTAATTCTCTAGTCAAACACAAGTCTCCCTGAAATCAACTGATCCTTCTGACCAAGCAGGAAATGTAGACATGAAAGTTGTAATCCTTTAGACCATGATCACACTGCTAGAGCACCTCACAGATGTATCTCACAAAAGATCAATTTGCAAAAGAAAAGAAAGATAATTTAGAAAAATTACATGAACAGAGCTGCCATGACATGCCCAGCAATGAGCTCTGTACCAGGAATAACATGTTAAGTTTTCACCTAATGTCAGTGAAATTATGATTCAGACTTCAATTCAGTGAAATTCATAATTGCAGGCCTTGGCTAATCATAACTACATGTGTGTTTCACAGCAGGCCTACATTCTGGAAAGTCTGTGCTGCTGACACATTTTGCTGAACTGTGGTTTATATTACCATAACCAAATGGTTCCCTGCATCCAGGTTTCTGTTTTGAACAGTTTCCTTTGCATCATTAAACAGGAAACCAGATTAATGAGTTTGCAGAAAAGCATATTATTACCATTATCACCGTTATTTTTATTCACAGAATCAGACACCTGACTTTTGAATTCCCACTGAAACTAGTGCTGTGAATTCTAAGGTCATGCACCTACCAGAAGGAAACGTGTGCTTAGTTTTAAGGTACATGCAATTAAAACTTGCCAAAAGTATTTCAAAACTTTGGTGTTGCAAGAAAAAGTTATGATATGAGCTGATATTCAAAAGGTTTTAATGCTGTAAATATATGGGAAAACATACTGTAGGATGACACCTTAATTCTGCACCCAAAATATGCAACAAACATGTAAGAAAAGAGCATCAGACAGAATCACTGCCTTTCTGTCAATCTCCCAAGAAAAACAAAGTACAGCCTTATCATTTTCTTCTACTCACAAGAAGGAACTCATCACTGAGTAATTCTGTGAACAAGAGAATTCCTGACATTGAGTTTCACGTCCCTCTCGTAGCTAAATCATAGATTAACTTGAGCGTTTAACATGATGTACTGCAGATTTTTTTTTTCCCCTCCTGCTGAGGATTTGCCAGCTCCCTTTCCCATGTGGATTCTCTCATATCTAACAGGGAGTGAGTTCACACTGCAGCATTTCCCTCAATAGCAACACTGGTAAGTGGATCTGGCCTCCACCCAGCTGTCTATTTTTACAAAGTCTCTGGGCGATGGATTGTCTTGGACATCTATTCCTCTGCCCCACAGAAATGAAACTAATAAACATTTTTGGAGTTCTTAATGGGAGGACAGACATACAGACAGGCATGCAGACAGATCACACAGCCTTGTTCAGAAGGAAATCAGGCTAAATCCAGACTGAGACCATGGACTGATTTCAAAGGAAGCAGCAGGCCCAGACCAGTAAATGAAATATTAATGCATCAGAGTTTTATGAAGGGCCCCACAGCATTTTTCACTTTCTGTTCTTCACCCCATTCCTCCACTAGCAAAGCGTCTTTCTATCGAATAGTTGTGACTGTTGTGCGTGAGTTCTGAATATCTTAATGCAAGTATTTCTTACATTTGTTTTTGAATGCACAGATCTGCTCAGTAAACGTGAGGAAAAAGTTCTCTTGATGCTGGCTTTGTGTTCACTCGCAGAGGTGCCCCTGTTAATAACACGCAGAGCATTTGAAAACACAATATAACTGAAAATTTAGCTTCTTTAGTAATGTTAGGTGATGATTTTCACAACTCTCATTCGTACTTTGTTTTCATTTTGGTTTGCTTTAACACCAAATATCTACTCACGTTGCATTTCTGCCTAGTAGCAAAGACTGTGTTATCTTTATAAAAGACTTTTCACTTCTAAAGACTTTTACTCACTGCAAAGGACACTTTACTTGAGCCTGCATGCCAGAGATGTAAATTGTATCATATAATAAAGTGATTTGACCAATCAGATGAGAAACACAATTTTGTTCTCCCTAAATTCTTGTCTGTTTGTTTAAATAATCTGAACCCAAGTAAAGCCTAATCTCTTTTTTTCTGCACCATTTTTAGACTCACTGACTTTGCCTGTCAGTGACCTCGTGCTGGTATGAGCCTCTAGAAGCTTAAATCAGCATCAGGTCAAAAGGCAACTTATCAAATTCAGTAGAATTTCATTTCCACACTGACTAAGCAGAGAAGGGAAACACAGTGAAGCACAATCTACCCAGGTTAAGTAATACCATAACAACTGCAAATAATATCTATTTGTTATTGTTACTTCTCTACCTTACATGCACCTAAACCTCCGTTAAGTTCCTGTAGGTTTGTCCATTGCTATATCCTCCTACCGTTTATTCTCAATTGAAACAAATTGTTCACAAAAGAAATAAATATTGTGAATAAATTGTCTTTACACTATTCAGGCTATTTGGGTGAAAAGCTGGTGAGGAAATAAGGGCAGCACATACAATCTATCAGTGGAAAGCCAGATCAGATTTCCACTAGTGACAGGAAACAAATCACAAAGCAGTTTTTGCATTTGTAAAGCAAGCAGGATTTTGTCCCCAGCGCAGGAAAAATGACTGATGCATGTGAAACTTGGAGGAACCGAAAAAGCTCCACAATAGCATTTTAAGAGCTTTGCTCTACGAAGGATTTATTTACAAGGTTATAAGAGACTCAGTACTATTCTTTTCATGGCTACCTTTTCATTCTTCTTTGGGAAGTTCTTAATTGCATCACAAAAAAAGCCAGCTTAAGCCAAATTCACAGTTTAATATTTTAAGTCCAGAAAGACAGGCTGGTGTTTCCAGGCCAGTATCTAGTTTTCCTCAAACTGAACGTTTGTTCACCGGATATATTGCTGGGTTTTAAAAAGCAGCTTTGTGTTGCTGCTGAGTCAGAAGCAGCACTCAGCGTGCTCTGAAAGGTTTGGTGTTTGTTCACACGTTTTCAGAACTAAAAGAAGGACTCAAGTATTTTATACTCAAAGCAAAATGACCTCGGGAGTGTTTGTGAGCGTGCACACCAAGTTGTGGGGCTCTTTTTTCTGGATAAAGAAAGGTAATGGCTAATTAACAGATGTTAATGGAGAACTAGGAGAACATATTGTGCTGTGGTACAGTCCAAACACAGCTGGAAGGTTATAACACACTGACCATACAGAAAAGAAGTTGATGCTAAACCTCTCGATCTATTTTTACCTTTAAAATAAACCAAAACCCGAGGGTAATTTTGCCTAAATAGCACAGAGGTTCATAACTTATTTTTCCCTACAAATGAAGAAACTGGAGGAAAGATATGCTACTTGCTGGAAAAAACAATGCTGTGTGTTGCCAATATTTTTAAGCAGGCTCTAGACAAGCAGAATGTGCCCAAGGCAAAAAAAAAAAGGAAAATAAGAAGCTTTACAGAACTCACAGTCAGAATAACAGATGCACTGGTATATTTTCCCAGCACGAACACACTCACAGAACTGTGGTAGTTATAAAACAATTGCCACTTATCCATGTTTTTAACCATTTGCTAAGCCATCTTAATTTTAATCTTCCTGTTATCAGTGCATGCCCTCGAGTTTAATCTCAGACAGTCAGTAATTTTTGGAAAAGAAGAATCAACATAAAGTCAGCATATGCTCAACTCTGTGGTATTTCTAATTTTTCTTTTTTTTAACAGAAAAGCTTATAAGCATAAATGCAGCATTTCTGATCAAGTGCTCAACAGCTACTCTGATTTTTAGTTGTGTTCAAGACAGTTCATATTTACAGTTCA